CAGCGGCCGAGGCGGGTTTGCACGCTCGCCTTTTCATAACCCGAGCGAACAAAAAAGGGTAGGAGCGGAGGGGGTTTTCCCCAAGCAGTTTGCCATTCATCGAGCGCGGTCAATACGCGGCCGACTTGGTCCGCTGTGCTGGGGGGTTTTTTGTACTTTAAATAACGTTGCCTCTGAAGCTCGAGCGGACTTGACAGCGGGGATAGCTTTTATTGTTTGTCGCATTTTGAGAGATCATCTTTTGGAAGGGGGGGGTTCCTTCAGGCAATTACACGCCGGTCTCTTAGATGGGTTGTTTCTCAACCGGTGGGACGGATGCGAAGGTCGGGTAGGTGGGACTTCGACTCGTTGCCCGAGTGAAAGAACCAGTTATTTGCGCTTTTAATGGAGGCATCAGTAGATAGCTCCAACTGCAGCTTTGTGGGGGTTTGTTTTTATCAGGGTGGGAGCAGGGTTTTTTGGTGGGGGGTTTTGTTTTTTGACAAAACAGTTGCGAGCCGGTGTCTGAGATGAAACATTTCTTCAACTTTACACCCTGCCTTTGTACACTCAGTTGATCAGAGGAAAGTTTTCTTTCCGCCCCCTCCTCCCCAGATTGCAACATGATTTTTGGACCCAAATCTATCTCCTATTCATTTGTACTCAAAGATCAACATTTAACAAGTAAGTTTTGCCCCACTTTGGTGAAACTTATTTCCAGTGTGTGTGTGTGTGTGTGTGGCATCATGCACTATTCAGCGTTTGTTATTCAAAATGTTTCAAATTGTTTGGATTTAACTTGCTATAAGCAGGTTAAGTAGCGGGTTGCACATACTTGGTTAAGGGATAACCGCCCAGAGGCTAATCAAGAAGTTCCTAAAGTATTTTTTTTTAAAAAGTTTTAATAGCCTTATTTCCTTCAGATAAATAGCTAAATATCTGCTGCGGTAGAAAACCTTGAGGAAACTAACTTTGAGAACCCACTTGAAGTGTAGAACTAACCATTTAAAAAAATTGGACTGATGGAAAACAGCGCTCCTATAATAGAGCCCTAATGCTTTATTTTTCACCGTGTTTTTTTTTTCACTAGGTAGCATTCCTCTTCGAGACTGATCTGGCAACTAACTGTGTTCAGAGTTGTGAACAGCGAGCTATACCTAAGACTGACGGCAGGGTGGAAAAGCTAAACTTGCAGGGCGAGTGCTAAAGACTTCTGCAGCAGCAAGTGTTTGGAAGCGTATTGTAGAATTGAAATCGACTGACAGAAATTAAAACTTTGCCCAATAAATGGGGCCTAGGCTCTTGAGATAGTTGAAGCAAGTCAAAAGAATCTGTATTCAGGGAGTAACTAGAAGGCAGGGTAGATGTGCACCTTATAGACTAACTGAATCAGATGCATCAGCTGTCGTAGGCAACAGCAGGTAATTTTATATAGAAACCTGTCTTATTTATTTTTTGCTTTGCTAGAGCTGTTTCTGCTGATACTGTTATCCATGAGTTAACCCGTGTGATCGTTGGTCTGTGACTGGCCGTGTTCTGTTGTAATACCGAGTTCAAGGCAGTTAATTCAGTTTGCTAGTAGGATAACACACCAGACTGATCCAGTAGCTCTACAAGAAATAAGAAGTATTAACATCTTGTTGCACATTATGCATCTAAATCACTTGGGACAATCTGTATGAAAGGTGCTATACAAAACAAAACTGTATATGAGGCCGGGAGTTGTGTGCACCTAGGGAGAGGGTAGCTGGTAGTCTCTTACTGAGCTCTTTGTTTAAAACATTTAACTGAAATTCTTCACTCATGTACAGTGGGAACTGGGTAGCTGTGCTGTGCAGTTCAGAGTAACCAAGCCTAGAATTTTACTTAACGTGGAAAATTTATTAGCATTAAATATAGTTTCTTTACAACTTGGTGTAGGGCTATAACTGTTGATAGAGTAAACTATAAGTGACTGGTAGTGTGATCTCTTTGTACACTTGGCTCTTGTTGCTCTTTGGGGACAGGTTGTATATTATGCATCGTGCAGTGCCAAACAAATTGATGGCTTGAATAATTATTAAGTTAAAGTAAGCTCATTGGAAGAATAGCTTGAGGTTTCTTTCATAAAGTGTTTATTCCAATCATCATTTGATGCATCTCATTTAACTTAAAAACTAAATGCAGGGTTGTGGCTTTCACATTACTTCCTTTTTGGGAAATATGAGAATTGTGCATTTCAGCTATTTAAATTGCTGGACAAGCACAACAAGTGTAACAGGGTAGTCTTTCCTGTTTACTTTTTCTGTTTTTTTTCACAGCTGTAAAGCCATGGTAGTGCTAAGGGACCCTGCAGGACTGGCTCAGATGAGGTGTGTGACACAAGCAGTTAAAAGTAGGGATATTCCAAACAGGGTCTGCTGCACCAGGAAACAGCAGTCTAAATACTCATGTGCTTGCACACGTCTCAGTTATGCCAAAGTTTTTCAGAAAAACCAATTAATAAAAATCAAAGCTGTTTTTCATTTAGTTCTTTTCATATGGAGTCTCTCAAGTGTTTTACCAAGTGACAAGGACTAATTGCAGGCAAGAGGGTAATGTAGAAACTGTGATGTGTTCATCAAACCAGTTTTCCCACAACTGGAAGCTTGCTTTGAGGGAGCGTTATCTGGTATGCTCACGGTACCAAGCTACTGCGGCTTGTTGGCAGCAGAGGGCAAAAATTGAATCCGCTAGGGTTCAATTTGACACCTCATATCACTTGGGCTTGTTTTTTTTACTGTCTTAATTAACTTGGAAGAAGTCAGTAGTTACCAAGAGAGTAGTCAAATTTGCTTCCTTTGTCCCTCCCTTCCCCCGTAACAGAAATGTCATGGAATTGGCTCAGGAGGCCTGGGGTTCTGTTCCAGCCCTGCTGTAAGCTACTGACCTTGGGCAAGGTGTCTTGTTTTTCCGTGCCTTAGTTTACTCATCTTTGTAATTTCTCATGAGAGGTGTACAGAAGTGTGAGATATTTCTTTCTATAAAGGAGCTACAACTTTGTTCTCACAAGTCTGTTGCTAGGAGTTATAGCTGTCACAGAATCAGCATTTTGACTTTGCTGTAGGATAAAATAGGATGAGCAAGTGTTTAACTTTTCTTCAGACAGCAAACAGAAGATATTCAGCAACTGAAAAAGGAGGGGTTTTTTTTGGTGGGGGAGACGTCAAAACAACTCAGTTTGATTCTTTCTCTACTGTGAAGTCTAACTTAGAAAAACCAAGAGAGTGGCAGGCAGTACTTTCAGTCTAGAGATATGTCATCCTCCCCAGTAGCTGCAGCCCTATCCAGGGAGTGTCAGGATCTCTTCCGTCAGTCGAGGCCAGACACAGACATCACTGCTAATGTTCAAAGTGGCCCTAACCTTCAGTGGTCTGACTCCATATCAGCTGGGATTTTTGGATGGGTACTCTGTCTAGTATAACAAGCTGGCCACAGCCAGCATATGCCTGCTGGGAGTTGTTTGATTCTGGATGTTTTTATGGTAGACTCAACCCTCTTTTGAGCATACATTTGAAACAGGGTGGCTCTTCGTCATTATGCAAATATCAGTTAGCTTTGCTGACCCTTATGGTCTCTGAAATTGTGACTTCATCATGAAAACCTTCTCCTTCCAGTATACTTAAAGTATTTCTTCCAATCAGATGGGTCCAATAGCATTTGCCAGATTATAAGCAGAGTTCACGTTCCAAACTTTGCTGAAAAGGATTTGATTAGCTGTGTTGGTACCTGCTGAATACCAGCTTGTTGTGGTACCTACTAGAATGTGGCACATGTGACTGTTTCCTTCCCAAATCAATGGGCATCTTAAAACTAAGTTAAATGGCAGTCGGTTGGGCCAGAGATCACTCTGAGGATCTAGATGCCCCCCCATTCTGAACGCAGGCAGCTCTGTTCATAGAATCTCTTTTAAGAGGGGCACCGCTTCTCTTGAAAGTGAAATCCCTACGACAGCAGAGGCAGGAAGCCTCATATAAAATGAAACAAAACTTGATTCTTTCATCAGAAGAGCAGGCACTTAAAATACTGTCTTTGCTTAATTGGAGATTTAAATTCAGTAAAGTCTCCATTTAAGAAGTGATTGTGACTATGTAATCGAAAGACTTTTTTGCGACAAAATGTAGTTACTTAAATGAGGCCCAGGTATGTTTTGTATTGTGGCAAATGATTGTGTTAGCTTCTCATGACGCTGAAGCGGGTTGGGATGATCCTGCCCCAGGCAGGGGGTTGGACTCGATGACCTCTGGAGGTCCCTTCCAGCCCGACTTCTCTCTGTGTGAGAAGAGCCTGTTGATTTAGGACCATTAATTGACAGTGCAGCTAGGCATGGTTGAGACTGGGAGCCTGTATTCTTGCTCTGTGGAGATGATGTTCCTTGCCATTGACAGAGTGGACACACTGAAGTTGTGCATTGAAAGCTGCTCTCCTTTTCTTGATATACTTAGATGGATTTGTACAAGAAATCGTTTTCCATGCTGGCAATACATTTGTCTGGGTGCTCGTAGTCTCCTGATGTAGTGATAAGCATAATGGCAAGGCACAAGGGCATCAAGTGAGCTAAAAGCTCCACAAACTTGCCAAGCGGTGATCTGCACTTACCTGATGTGGGCACCAGTGCTGGCATGCCCGCCTCGGGTACCTCTCTCCCTGTGTAAACAAAGCTCAGCAACTTTCATAAGGTGGGTTATAGAAAGATGAGATAAACTGGTAGTGGGGAAGTCCCAGTCCCTCCCCCATGGATGAGGAGAGCCCAAAGTAAAAAGATAGGGAGCAAGCCAAGCACGTCCCGAATTTTTTGACTCTGGGTTCGTACTGCAGTAGAGGACTCTGTCTCAACTTGGACCAGGACTTGTGAATGCCTGTTTGGCTCTTTTTGTGCCGTTATGAAGTTACGTTGCTGTCCAGCACCCTCGGGGGAATCGCTGTGCCCTGAGGGCTGTGCAAACGGGGAGGTATGCATGCATGTTACATGTGTTGATTTGACCGTGTTACTGCTGCTTGTTCTCATTCCCCTTCCCCGTCCATGTTCTCCTCTCTGATTTACCAAAGGGAAAAACTTCATGCAGATTAAAATTAAATCCATTACTTCTGGGTTTATCTCCGTCTAACCCTGAAGAATGCACTCTCCTTCCCAGAGCTGACTACTACAGTCATTTCTTTCCCCTCCCACACAAACCTGTTGAGACTACCACTTTCACTTGCAGGCTTTTTGCACTTGTAGGAAGCTGTCAAAGGGCCCTACTAAATGAAGGCTTCCCTCCAGAAGTTCAGAGTTTTAGGTCAGGTGTGCTCTTGGCAGAGAAAAATAGAATAATCCCTTTGGCTATCCAGTCCACTTCCTTATCCTTTTGTTTTCTGTGCATGGCATGGTATGAACTAAAAGCCACTCCTTAGCCCCAGAAACACTAGAAAGCCAGGCTCTGAAATATCAAACTTCCTTATTCTTTCAATTGGGCCTCTATTGCAGAAGTCTTCAGCCAGTATTAGAAGAGATGTGTCCTTCACCCTCAAAAGTGGTATGAATTAAAGAGGTTCTGTGTCTGAAGACATCCTAAAGTGTTCACTAAAACGCTTCTAAAATAGAAATGGAAGATCCTGGGTATTAAGTGGAAAAACCTTGTGGTTTTGTGGCCTTGGAGTGTGGAAAGAGGTGCTAATAGCATGGGAGAGTGAATATTATTGACATTCTTCAACTGGGAACTGCTGCAGGGAGTTCTGGTAATCCAGATCTGTATGCATGGCTGCACTGAACCTTGCTTCCTTGGGAAAGACGATTTACCGGTACACTGCAAGGGCTCAGTTTGTGTACGTGTCTCATGTTGTGCCCCCCCCTTTTTATAGCAATCCTGAAAGCAGTTAGCTTACAATCCTGTGGATAAGATGTTCTCATCCAATTCAATTTTATTTATTCTCAACTTCCTGTGTCGTCTTGGATTCCATAACTCTGGATCATGACAACTCTTGCTACAGGAAGACCTGTTTACCTACAAATGCCTCCCAGTCAACAAAATGGGATGTTTCATTTGGGAGACTGAGTGGTTTCTCTCCACGTGCTTGGTGCTTTAACGGTTATTCTAATTAGGGTGTATTTTGTTGTGCGGTATCAAAGTTTAGCCCCCTGAGAATCCTGGCAGGCAGCGGGTAGGGCATAAAAAACTCTTTCAGGAGCCAAAATACATTTTCTCCCCTTGGTTACTGCTTCTTGAGTGACAAGTCCACTAATTCAGACTGGTATATCTGAAGTGTAAAATGCTTGTTGGACAAAGTGTTGGCATTCAGAATGAGCAAGTTGATAAGGAATTTTTTCACAGTCAACAGTTAATCAGGACGTCTGTTGCTGAGCATAGGTTTTGAATTGAGCCACACATCTCATGGTTTGTATCCGGCAGGCTCCCCATCTGTCACCAGAGCAGGACATGATGCAGGGTTCCCTGTGCTTTCTTTTAGGAAGGGCCTGGGTTGTGCTCCGATTGGAGAGATCTCCTGGTGAAAGGACGGTTGAAGGATTATGAACGAGTCAAATCATTACAAAGCCTATGATATATATGGATCTGCTAACTTATCTGGCTGATTCCCCTGCTCTCAAAAGACATGCTGATGTTATTGTCCCAGTGGCTATCTAAATGTTGCTTGTTTGGTGGTAGTAAAAAGGGGGAAGGGGCATAACATCTCTAAGGGAAGTGGGAACAAGATGTTTTAAAGTTTATCGAGAGCTTTTCCTTTCCCGTTTTTCCTTAACCTCTGCCTGTTGGAAAGCTAATGCCTCTTGTAGTCTCCCCCTTGATTCAGACCTGAGAAATGAAGTGCTAACCTGAAGGTTAGACAGGTTCACATGGGTCAGAACTCTGGATGTCTTTATATAAATCTGTCTACTTTGGTCTCTCCAGCAGGTAACATCAAAAGGTGCTGGTTTAAATCCCAATGCAAAAGTATGGCAAGAAGCTCCACAGGGAAGCACTGAAGCTGCACAAGTGACCAATGGCACTGAGCATTCGTGGCCGGAAACGGCAGCCACATCAGGGACTCATACTGAGGGTGAGATGTCAGAGCTACCCATCTAAATGTGACCAATGACTTCAATCCCTTGCTTAGTTGGGATTGTGTGTATTCTGTTTAAGCCGAAATCCAGGAGTTAGAAGGAACCGGTGTTCCTAACCTTGATAGTACAGCTCTAGACTTTAAATGTAGTTGGCGTGCGTTGAGTCCGCCAAACATCATGGTACAGAAGATCAGTTAAAGTGAGTTTTGGCTTAAAAATCTGAGGTGATGCCTTAAACAATACTGAGGGAAGAGTAATTCAGTAAGGGAAGCAGTGTGGGGTAGTCTTGTGCAACGCTTATGGCCCAGTGATGATCAAGTATCGCGCTAAGAGGGAAACAAGTCACTAAATGTGTGGAAATGGCTTCTAGACTCTCTCTACCTTTTTCTTCTTTTACCTCACCTTTGTTTCCTTTTCTGTTGTCTTTTTCTTACCATTGCTGCACTTTAGTGTACACTTGACCCCATGACCAGAAAGATTGAGATCTGAGGGCTGCTTAGTCTAAGCAGATTGAGCTATTCCACATTTCAATCTCTCTTGGATGTTACATGGCAAATTTAAAAAAAAAAAATACTTTTTTCAAGCTTAAACCTTGCTTGGGTAGCTATCTCCTGGATTGGAGAGTAAGGAGGGAAAGTCTAGTCCTCCAGGAGAAGGGGGTTCTGGTAACATGATACTTCTTGGTAAGTCTTTGAGTCAATATAAAGTTTAACTTAAAAGCATTTGCCAGCCAAAGTGAGGAGAAACGCAGTGAGTGACATTTTTATTTTACAGATCAGTTGCTGCTTCAGCATGAGTGCCTCCTTTGGTTAGAAATGTCATTTTGCCTTGACAAATAATACTTATGGCTGTTACAAGTAATTCATCTCTGTTTTTTAAGTGTCTAAACTGAAGCCATATAACATGTTAGATCGTGACCTTTTTGTTCTATTTGTCTCCGAGACCAATGGTTGGTGGTTCTAGGCTGATTTTCAGGTGGGTGGTAGCTGCGTTTCAGATCCCCCACTCCTGCATAAGGGACCCCGGAGAGGGGAGAGGCTGAGTTTTCTTCCACTGCATTTCTCCTACCTTGCTTATCTCGGTGGGACAAACAAAAGGAGTTTAACCTCTGACATCTGCAGAGCCCTGGCACTTAGCGTCTATGTTAAGTGTATGCTAAATGCATAACTTTCGTGGTGTTTCCTGGTCTTCTCTGCGTCATAGGCAGAAGTGTGTGTGTGTGTGTGTAGGGGGGTCCTTTTGTTATGCTTACTTTAAAAAAAAAAAAGGGGGTGGGGTGGGGAGAGTTTGTTGCCTATCATTGTGAGACCAGTACAAACAAGGAAAGCTTCCTAGACGGGGAAATACAAACTGTCTGCATGGACCATGCTCTCAAATATAAAGTAAAGAAACAGATAAGGAGTCTTTGAGTTACAGTATTCTTGAGTTTTCCTCATAACAGGCTAAGTAATGCACTTTAAATGCACGTTTTGGAAGATAGTCTGGAAGTGACAGCATCCTTTTTCCCCTTTTTGTGTTGCTGTTTTTGTGCCAGGTAACGTAGAGATTTCAGAGGATAGCTGCAAGCAGTATGAAGTGATGTATTCCCCATCTTGTGAAGCTCCAAGAAATGGCACAGGTGTTGAGGAAGCAGCTGCTAATGGACTGGTCCTAGCAACTGAAGATCTTGGCTACCAAATTTATGATGCTTCTGGTGAGTGTACATGCCAGCGTGGTCAGTACCGGTAATCTTGAGGTGCCTTTCACTGAGAGCGTTTACGATCTGTCTTTCTCATAGGCCTGTTGAAGTGCACAGCTTAACACATTTGCCTGTGCTCTTAATGTACTTATGTACCAGAAAACTGTTATGCTTCTGCTGTGGGTGGAGCGCTTGGTAAACCATCCAAAAGGAGTACAGGTTTTTCTTGCTTTATGTGGGTTCTGCACATGCAAATTTGCTCTTATGCGATAACCCTCTTTACACCAAAAATTTGTTATACGTGAGCTAAATTCACTCTTACACGATCGGTATGGCGGAAGCCCGCAGCCAGCTGCTTTGTGTGGTGCCTTGTGGGAGTGACGCGCATCAAAATATAGTCTCTTGTGTGGCTCTGTGCTCCTTGCTCGCTGTCTGCGATGTTTCTCTATAGCTGGCAACCCCATTATGGCTTCTAACTTTCTACCAAAATTGTGTTGTAAAAGTGGTAGAAATGGGCCTGGGGGTCTTGGAACATATCTCTATTTGTTATGTTGTAAAGTGGGTTCCCTTTATGCAAATTCGAGTTATGCGCTGTTTTTCAGGAATATGTGTACAGGCAGTCCTTGGACTTATCACAAAATTGGTTCCTGAAAACCCGTATTAAGCCGAAATGTTGTAACTCAGAACCAATTTTCTCATAAGAAACAAGGTTATAAATGGAGGATTGGTTCCTGAACCCCAAGGCCCAGTACCCTATTTTCACCAAAAACACCCCAGAATTTTGTACTCGATCAATTATAGATGAGTAATATAGCTACATTAATGTATTTATATTGTAAATAGCAATATTATTGATTTGGAAGTACTTCTTTGAGGTGGCTTTGCTGGACTTTTTGAAAGGCTCTCGGTTGGACTTTTTGGAGGGTTCTTAGCTGGAATCTTCTCAGGTGTCTTGGCCGTAGGTTTTTCTGGAGTCTTGTCTGCTTTCTTAAAGAAGTGTCCAAGGAAGTTTGGACAGATGTTCTTCAGGCTGATGAGCGACGCAGCGAACTTGTGCGCTGACATGGTGTTGCATTGGATCAAGCGTTGTAAGTCGAAACTCATGCTGTAAAGTTGAGACGGTGTCAATTTATAAACGTTGTAAGTGGAGGACTGCCTGTACAGCATAAAGTGAGGGAAACCTGTACTGGATGAGGGCAGCCTAATGATAAGCAAATACATCCTATACGAAATAAATAACACGTGAACAAAGCCACCTGAGTGCAGAACATTTATGTTCTTGAGCCCCTTGGAGGTTCAGAAGATGACTAACTAGAATTGTGAAGGACTGACGAGTAAATGGGGTGAAGAATCCAAAAACCCTTAACTGGAATGGCAGGCTGGAACTGATCTGACTTCCAGGGGGACCAAATATTCATCTGCTCATCAGAGTGGTGTTTAGGGGCCCGAGGAAGGTTGCCTACACAAGTAGTGTGTTGCACTTTTCAGGCTTTCACATTCATTTTTCTGTAGAAAATCTTGCTTGCATTTTGATTTGCAGGCATGCTTGCTTTTTTCAGCCCCTTCCTAAATCAATGGGCAGCGTGGGGTATGCTGTGACTCTTTTAACCTTCCAGGTTCCCCTGTGTGCATCCCTCCCCCCTGCTGATTGGTGGAGAGGCTCCGTGGTTTGCTCCTAATCAGTGGGGAGGCGAAAACTGCAGTTTTAAATACCACGTTTTTGTCTCCTGCCACCGATTGGCTGAGGGGCTCTGGATGGCCCTGCTGTTTGCTGCTGACTGGTGGGGTGGCAAGAATGGCGCCATGTTTAAAACTGCGGTTTTAGCTTCCCTGCTTATCAGGATGGAGTGGCAGTGCCCTCTGCTAATCAACAGCAGGGGGGCAAGGGGCAAAGTGTGCACAGGGGAACGTGCAAGATTAAATGAGCTGCTGCACACTACATCTGCCGTGAGTTTGGTAGGTCCCTACTTATCACCACTGCCTAGAATACGCTTCCATGTAAAAATCATTAGTTTTGCATGCTCTGAGATCTTTGAGAGTGAATATCTGGCAAGAATAAGAATTTCTGTGCAAGTGTATGAACATGGCTTGTTAGTCTATGCAGTCCTTTCGTTATGGTATACGTTGCAAGAGCGTTTTTATTGGGAAATGGAAATAAATATGGCTTGGCTTGCTAACTTGTTTGCTTGGATTTGTAATATAGATGCCGGCAAGAACGCTGCTCTACAAACAGTGTTTAATTACCTGCTGCAGTGTAGCAAACGAGCTCACACTCCTCTCAAAATGGAGGCTTTCTTACTAACTTTGATCTTCTGAAAGCTAGCACTCAGAATAGCAAAACAGCAAAGCTCAAGCCATGCTGCCTTCCTAGGAACCTGGTAGACTGCATGTGTGGGTGTTGCTTAACTCCTTGTGCATTTAAAAAATGCAGTATTAGTCTAACTGGGTGAAAGTGAAAAAAAATCTATAAATATTGTGCCACTCTTGTCCTGCGTTTTCATTAGAGAAGTTCTTTAAAAGTGCAGTTGCAGTTACTAAGAAGGTCTTGGGAATTATACTTTAATAGTCACTCAAATGACTGAGATCCAGCATGTTTTGTTTTTAGCTAGTGCTCTTATAGAAATGACCACAGGTAAGGCATTTATGCTCATGGGCCAAATCTTGGGGCTATTTAACATTTGAACGAGGCTCGTAAACCAGTTTACAAGATATGAGAAAGTAGCACTAACTTATAAAACCTGTCTCTTGTTTCCATTCATCTTTTACAGAGTGATTTGAGTTTTCCGTTCTTTGTGCACAAAGAAACATTCTTTTTTGCATTTTATTTCCAATAACGTGTTGCTGAGATCCAGTGACAATCAGCTAATTTAATATTTACCTTTAGGTGAAGGAGGCTCTGCTGTGTCTACAGAAGACCTTAAAGAATGTTTGAAGAAACAACTTGAATTCTGCTTCTCACGGTATAGCATGACTAATTTTTTTTCATGTTACTAAATTGCTTATAAAAGCTGCAGATAAATGTTTTGGTGTTTTGGTTGCAAATGTCTTGTGCTCTGGGTGTGGGTTAAAATTTTACAGTGAAAAGGAGGTTATAGGGCAAGAGACCAGAGATCAAATCCTGAGCTTGCTGCTGGGATACAAGGAACAGCAGGCAGCCTGCAAGTAACATTACATTCCAGCATGGTGCTATTTTGCAGTGGTGTCAGTGCAGATCAAGAGGTTTGTAGGTACAGGCAACCCCTGCTTAACACTGTTTCGCTTAACACACAGTTTTGTTACAGCGCTCGTTTAAAATACCTGCCTGGTTTCACTCAGTGCTGAGCATGTTTCGTTATAATGCTCAGTGCAGGGGTGAGGAGAAGCGGTGTTTGGCAGCTGGCAAGAACCCAGGGATTCCACGTGGCAGGAGCCTGGGGTCTGCTCTGGCACGTGGTGCTGGAGCGGGCGGGGAGGAGGGGTAACAGCAAGAAGGGGTGGGTGCAGGGCTGGGCAATGTGAGCTTGGAGCCCAGGCCAGTGGGGCCCAGGGCAGGGTGGCAGGAGCACAGGGTCTGCTCTGGCACGTGGTGCTGGAGCAGCCAGCAGGCGGGGAGGAGTAGTGGCGGCAGTGAGAAGGGGCGGGTGAGGGGCATGAGCGTGGGGCGCAAGGCGGCAGGAATCGCAGGGCCCGAGGCCAGGGCTGGCAGGAGTGCAGGGTCTGGACTAGTGCAATCTGAGCCCGCAGAGCTGCCCCACCCTGGGCTGCAGCCCATGCCCTGTTCCACTCCGGTCACATACCTGTGGGGCATGGATGCTGTCCTGAGCCTGCAGCAGTCTGGTGGTGGTGGCTCATCCCAGTGCTGGGTGCCCTGGAGGGTGCCCTGGCTGGGCAAAGTGGGGCGCGGGTGGCCCCACTGCTTACCCCGCACCAGAGCCCTGCTGCCTTCTCACTATAAATCCCTGGGCGGGCAGGTCCCTGACTCTGGCCCCATGGGCAGGGCAGTTGGGGCTGTGCACAGGTGCACTGGTGGCCGGTGGGTGCGGGCTGGCAGGGGCCATTGCGGAACAATGAGGCTGGGAGGAACTGATGCCTTTCCTAGTGGAGCCCACGTGGTGCTTTGCCGGGAGTGGCCCGGCCAGGGCTAGCAGGAGCGCAGGGCCCAGGGTGGGGCTGCAGGAGCGCAGGGTCTGGGCTGGCAGGTGGTGCAGAACCAGTCATCTTTATTTACATTAAATCCTACGTGGAAATGGGTTTTGTTTAACGCTGTTTCGCTTAGTGCTCGGGTTTTTCCGGAACCGATTAAGAGCGCTAAGCGGGGGTTGCCTGTAGGTGTATATATCTGGGGAAAGAACCTTCCTAACGAAAGATGAATTACTAGAACCTGTCCTGAAGCCATGGGGTTAAAGTTCAAGGACTCTATCTTTGTCCTGTGCTGATCTAGGAGTCTAAAGTTAAAGAAACTGAAATCCAGGGAAGGAGAGTTATTCTGCCTTCTATGGCAGGTGTAACTGCTGGCTGTTGATGGACAAGCTGGGTGTAACCTGCCTCTGGGATTCATCCTTGGCATAGATGAGGGTATAAAAGCATGAGGGCTTAACTGGGCATTGCACCCCCACTAGTTTAATATTTGACCCAGAATTTGTCAGTGGAAAAGCAGTACAATTGCAGCACTCCCTGTACTCGTCTACACTTTGATAGCAGCAGACCCCATCATGGGGGTCAAGCACTCCTGACTTGCAGGCACTCTCCAAACCCAGAGTTACACCAGCACTTTTGCTCCAAGCTCACTCCCAGTGGTTGCTCTCTGCGATGCTGAGAACTCAGATGCAAAGGGACAAACCAGTAGCAGCTTTAACTGTATGCTTGGCTTTGAAGAGCCCTTTTGGCGTGAGGTGGGGGTGGGGAGCAGGGGAATGTGCTCAGGCCCCTTGCTGGGAATCAGCAGGACTGCAGTGTAGAAAGTTCTTATGTACACATGGGGACACTGCCTAGTTACTTCAGCTCCCAGGAAGTGTGTTGGTTCTGAGAGAGTTGTCTAAGGGCCCCAGATAGTGCTGGTTCAAACAGACTATAAAGGTTGCTATGTAGTTTTGCTGGAGACTTTCTGCGGATGCTCTCTGAAACTTGTCGAAGCATTGCAAAGACAATTGCCTGGCTGTCACACTCATGCAGCTTCTGCGCTGCAGCCTTATTCTGCAGTGAAGACCACAGAATTTTTTTGTATTTCACAGCTCTTAAGAGATTGAGGTCAAGTAATCACATACACTCCACCCTAAGGACTTCCGAGAGTATTTAAAGGCAGTGTAATGTGCCAGAGACCTGGTTGCGGGCACCCTTTTGTTGTGCTGCTTCATTATATATGTATTGCTGTTTGTCTTGCCTAGCTTTGACCCAGTAAGTCCCAGAAAAAAAAACTTGCAGAGCACATGCATCATGACCAGAAAGACTGTAAATGTTCACAGTGAATTGTCTTTTCATGCTAAAGCTTTTCTCCCCAACCTCTCACTTGTGTAAATGCCTGTTTACTTCTAGTGAGAATCTGTCAAAGGATCTCTACTTGATGTCTCAAATGGACAGCGATCAGTTTATTCCAATATGGACAATTGCCAACATGGAAGGAATTAAGAAGCTGACCACTGATATGGACCTTATTCTTGAAGTATTGAGATGTATGTTTAAGTCTTTATAAAAGCATGTCTAGATGAGTGATGCAAGCAGCCAGTTTGACTGAGGAGTTCTTAAATTTTAAACCTATTGTGTTCTGGCAAGCTGATGCTACATAGTTACTGATTTATTTATTTTTTTGTGGGGGAAATGAGCTGTAGTTGATTCTGAAACAAAGTCATGCTAACCAAAAGCATATCCATGTATAAGTAACTATTTTGGTGACTTTTCAGTAAACTTCCTCAAACTGGTTTCAAACAGCTCTCAGAAGGGGTCTGCACCTCCATTCAATTTTTTTAAGCATCCGTAAATGAAAAAAGGTTGAAAACTACTGATGTAGAAAGTTTCTTCAGAAAGGCAGTTTTCCCTATGTGCACTCTCATGCTGACTGTGCACACTTCCTATCACATGGCAGTTGGTACAAGAGGTTTTTATAATATTGATGGTGAAGCCATAACCGTCTTACCAGATCTCATCTGAATTTCTCAGTCGGACTGCCTAGAAACTTGCATTTTTTTGTGCCTTCTTGATGCAAATGGTTCTTATTACCGTCCAAAAAAAATGTAAGATCTGTTTCTCAAATTTTAAATGTGAAACTTGAAAGCACTAACTCCTAGAGCTTGTTTTATAGCCACCAAAAAATTAAAATAGGTTTGTATTCAAGGGGTGTGCCCTTTAATTCTTCTGAAGGTATTGAGTGTCCTCCAGTCTCATGGACAGTCAGCAGAGAGTACTCGGCACATTTTAAATATTGAGTGCGTGCACAACACCATGCAGTGCATGTTTCAAGTGAATTCATGACTTCAGATAATGCAAGAACTCATTGTTCAGTTATGCAAAGATTATCTACTGATATCCCTGCCTGTGAGCAGCCTTGGGTTTTGACCATTATTTTAAAACTTTTTTTGAAAGGGGGCTTAAGGACAGTGATTACACAGCTGCAGCTTGCAGTCGTATCAGATAACCAGTCTCATATCGTTATTTCCACTTATGATAGAAGACTGCCTTCATGATTTCCAGCATTTGGATAAATACTGTACCCATGTAGTTTCAGTTTCATAGCTGGTCGGATCGGATGGGACCTGAGCAGATCATCAAGTCTGACCCCCTGCCATGGCAGGAAAGAGCACTGGGGTCAAACGACCCCGGCAAGGTGTTCATATAGTCTCCTCTTAAAGACCCCTAGGGTAGGAGCCAACACCACTTCTCTTGGAAGTTGGTTCCAGATCCCAGCTGCCCTGACAGTGAAGTAGCGCCTCCTGATGTCTAGTCTGAATCTACCCTCTGCCAGCTTGTGACTGTTATTTCTAGTCACTCCTGGTAGTGCTTGGGGGGACAGGGACTCCCCCCAATGCCTGCTGGTCCCCCTTGACTAGTTTGTAACAGGCCACTGGATTCCCCCCTCAGCCTTCTCTTGTGGAGGCTGAACAGGTTCAGGTCCCGTAGCCTCTCCTCGTAGGGCCTGCCCTGCTGCCCCCTGATCATGGTGGCGGCCCTCTTCTGGACCCGCTCCATGCTGTCCACATCCCTCCTGACGTGCGGCGCCCAGAACTGGACGCAGTACTCCAACTGCAGCCTGACCAGTGTCGTATAGAGGGAGAGGATCACCGCCTTGGCCCTGCTCGAGATGCACTGATACCCCTGCGTCTAAGGATTTTGTGACCTGGTCACAAAATACGTTCACAAGAAGTCAGCGCAGTCTTTATGGGCTGATTTTTTTTTTTGCAGTCCTTGTGAGTCTGAAAAACCTGCTGACCTCAGCATTCAATGCATTCAGACTCTGCAAGAAATGCAGACTGTTCTTGTATGCTTCTTCGTAATATTGCTTAATGCTAACGTTGCTGGGCACCCATTTTTAAAAAGTATTATAGAACTTTTTTTTAGAGGTGCAGTTCTATTTGGGGAAAAAAATTTGCTTTTGGCAAAAGATTAATTTCCAAATTGCCAACTACGATTTGAAGATTTTTATATTGCGTTTTCACATATCTCGTGTTTATCAACGTTGAGCTCTTTAGGAACTAATTTGTGCAAGTAATTAAAGTCTATAGCAATGGATTTATAATGGTAGAAATAAACAACAAAACCATCATTTCTTCCAGCCTTCAGATGATACTTTAGTTGCACCCACTAACGTGTCAGTGGGCTGTTTTTGGATGCTTGAAATTTATTCTGAATTTGAAAAATTGTCCCTCTTGTCTATTGTGGCTTCTTGATGGAGTCAGGAATTCAAAAGCCCGTACGCTACAGGTGGACTATATTGTGTAACATTAAATGCTGTGAATCTACAAATGTATCAAAACATTTATCTTTCTGTCGTCTTATTATAAATGTGTGTGGGGCTGGGCATCTTGAAGTTAATATCCCATGCTTTCAAATTAAAGCAACTTTCTAACTTAAATTTTAGCTTCTCCTATGGTACAAGTGGATGAGAGAGGAGAGAAAGTAAGACCAAACCACAAACGATGCATCATTATTCTTCGTGAGATCCCTGAAACGACCCCTGTTGAGGTAAACTTTATTGAATGGCTTAAACATTACTTCAGACAGCAACAGAAAAAGTGACTTTTACAGAGCATGCTAATTGGTAGGGCTGTGCGAAGCTTCGGTCACTGATTCGATTTGGCGGAGATTCGGCCTGATTCAGTGGCTGAATCTCTGAATCCAAATAGAATCAGGAGACCCTTTAATCTCGCCGTATCAAATCTGAATCCTCCAAGTCGATTTGGAGAGATTCAGTGATTCGGACATAGATGCAGCTTTAAATGTTTTTTTTTATACATACCTCGAGGGACCAGGCGGTTCGTGAATGCTGCGATGGTGGGGCAGATGGAGTGTCCCGCAGGAGTGCAGGGGAGTCCGCTGCCCCCGAGCTTGGCGATTGGTGCCTCCTGGGTCTGGGGGGAGCACTCGGGGTCCCCCTGCAGCTAATCGCTGAGCCAGAGGGGTGGGGGGGGGTCCACCACCAAACACGTGGGGGCTTTTCCCAGACTCCCATGGGATGCTCCATCTGCCCCACCATCTTGGCATTCATGAGCTGTACCTGGTACCTTGAGGTATGTAGAAAAAACATTTAAAGCTGTACCTATGGCCGAATCACTGATTCTCTGAATCAACATCAAATCTTCAGATTCTGCCGAATCGAATTGGGACAGCGATCCAAACCAACGAATCGAATCACTGTCCCCCGATTCAGGCTGAATCTGAATCGAATACGGCCCGTTTCGCACACCCTTATTAATCGGTATAAACTTGCAGGTGAAATGTAATTCAGCATGAGTGCAGGCATTCATACAGCAACTGTGTAAACTAGCACAACTAATGCAGTTCCATATGAACAGATTCCTCCTTGTAAATCTTGGAGGTCTGTTTTATCCCCTTTTAAAAATCTGCAACTCATGATGACACAGGCTGCTTCTTGCATACAGTTTGCTGTACGGTTTACTTCAAGCGTTAAGAATCTTAATTTGGAAGGGCCTTGGTTGAGGTAAACTTTCTGGTATGAAGGCATTTCATTCCCTTGACTGCTTAATGCTGTTGGAATTTCTTCCCAACCTTACCAGAAATGCCCTTTGGTTTATATCTGAAAAACTAATGGATGGTGAGCTAATGGCATTGGCTCTTAAAGAACAGTACAGACATTACTCCTGTGGAGAGAGATCTCAAAAAAAAAAAAAAATCATCTTTTCAAAATCCTGTATTGTGGAGACTTGCTTCTCTGCACGCACAGTTCAGTAGAAACGAAAATATAAGTGAGGAGCTTGCTTGGGTACTACATTATTATGTATACGAGTCAACAGCCAGCCAGAGAGAAGTTTTAAAATATAGGTATCCTCAGTTAGCCAGCTGTCAGTCTTGTAAAGGGCAAGATAACGTGAAGGTCCATTGCAGACGATCAGAAATATTTTTGGGCGAGTCTTCAGTAATCTAGGAACTGGAAGAGAAACAGAAATGCTTGCCTTGGCTGACTAAGCTTCTCGCATCTTTGGACTGGGGGTTGCTGTAACAAGGGTTTTTTGTTTTGGTTTTTTTTTGCTTTAGGAAGTTAAGGCTCTGTTTAAAAATGAGAATTGCCCCAAAGTGATAAGCTGCGAGTTCGCTCACAATAACAACTGGTACATTACATTCCAGTCTGATACTGATGCACAACAGGTAAGATGACCTTGAGCTTCAATGTAGTCTCAACTAGTCTGTCCCTTCCCCACAGTGCCTACCCCCTGTTGTGAGATGCAGTGGAACAGGGGGTAGGCATTGTCATTCCATCTGCGGACCAGAACAGCCTGCCCCCCCTCCGTTTGAGGGAGGGCACTAGGATCCTGCCGCTGTTCATCACAGCTGCCCTGCACAAGGCAGTGCCAGACTGAACGCTGCCGAAGCCCCGTGTCCATGGGCTGGGTCCAGAGGTTGCTGACCCCTGTCATAGTACTTGCTGTAAGGGAAGATTGAGATTAACCTATCCTATTTTCCTTTTGGAGCCAAGAATTTACTTAGTTGAAGTTCAACATCCTTTCCTGCCCTTGTCGGTGAAATAAAAGTACCCAGCTAATCCAAAAGTTAACTGTCGGATGCAAGATCTAGCATCCCAAATCTGAGCTGTTACTTTTGTTTAAACCAGAACAAGCTCCTTGGTATCCTACTTGTTTTTGTAGTTCTTAAGGGGCAGTCTCAAGACAAAGTAGATCCTCTTTTATTTTTCATAACATATTTAAGAATAGTAGAAATAGCTTCATGAATCCCTTCTGGTTGAAAAACTTTTTTGAATATATTCCTCAGTGGCAGTAACAACTACAAAGGTGCAAGGTTTAAACAAAAGGGTCTGAAAACACAATTGAAAGCAAAGCTGAAAGGTGTTTTCCCATCATCCCCCTCCCTTGAGAAATAGTGTCAGGAATAACTTCCTCTTCTTGAACTTCCATTTTTTTTAATCTTTTGGATTAAAATTTTGAGTGTCTCTGTGACTAAGCTGGTGGATGGTGGCTTTCTGCTGGGTGAAGAAAAATAAGGTGCTTTTCAGTGAAGACCGCTTAATGTCGCAAACCAGGGCTTAATCTGCATGATGGCACAAACCGTCTGGTGTAGTTTCCTAGTGTCCAGAATTGAGCAGGGTACTCGTGACGTATGACATGCAAATACTTTGATGCTGCTCCATTGAACTACTGGCAGTTCAATCCCTGGAACAGAAGAGAAAACTCCTTTTTGATAGCAATGTGATACAGTCCCTTCCATGCTGGGATTTTAAAAAGATTGTCAGGCCCTTTTTGAAGTACCACAATGCCCGTTTCCCTCTTACACTTTTTTTTTTTTTTTTTTTTTTTTAAATGAAACTAGTGCCAAAATAAAGAATCAACCTCGGGATCGACTGTTTGTTAGTTTCTTTTAGAAATGTAGTTTTACCCAAATGCTATTTTGATTAATGTTTCTCTTTCGTATGTACACAGGCATTTAAATACTTAAGGGAAGAAGTAAAAACCTTTCAGGGCAAGCCAATAATGGTAAGACACTTGTGGGCTAAGGGAAGATTTGAGGGCAGTGTTGTGGTTGTTTTTTGGCAGGCATTGCAAACTTATTAATAACTTAAGTAACTAGTCCTGGATTTCAGCAGGTGTCCCCTTGCTCACCAGTTTGAGTCCTGTATGGATTGTTACAAAATCTTACTATCTAGTGGATGGTGACTCTTTCCAGTTCTTTTCCAAACAAAGGTGTCATGTGCATATACATTTTTTTTTTTTTCTTTAACAACTTTCAGACTTGTACCTGTGTCTGTGAAACTCGGCACAGGGACTACACAGTTCTCTTCTAAGTGAGATTGAACAAGCTGGATTTGTGCTGTGAGTGGAGTCTAACTCTCCAGACTTACTGTGCAAACTAAGCGGCAGGGGCTGAAGCATGGCATCTTTCAAAGCACTGACTTTTTCACTTTTCATAGTTAATCTGTCTACATGACAGCTATTGCTGTAGGAGGCAGCAGAACATTTTAGTTCCCAGTGATTCTGTGGCTTCAACTTATTGCTTGGGTTGTCAGAAGATTGAACCAATGCTGTAACCAGGTCGATCGCACAAAGCTTGCTTGTAGCCAGTAGTTAACACAAGCTTTCCTCTCTCCCTTACCTACAGCATTATAAATCTTCTCACTTGTTCTTTCCTTGCTATGTGGGGCATGTAACACAGCTTCATTTCTTTTTCAGGCAAGGATAAAAGCCATCAACACTTTTTTTGCTAAGAATGGTTACCGGGTAGTGGATTCCAATGTCTATACTCAGCCGGTTCAAACACAAGCACAGTTTGCCTCACCACTGTTTATGCAGCCTGTTTATAGTCCTCAGCAGTACTCTATCTACAGTATTGTGCCTCAGACCTGGTCTCCAAGCCCTGCACCTTACTTCGAAACACCACTGGTAAGTAATTTACATTAAAGATAACAGCTTGAAAAATCAGATTGGCGATCTGTTGAGGCCCCTTCTGACCCTAGTTTCTATGAACCTGCTCTGCAAGAACTTAGATAGCAAAATGGAGCGTAGGGGTGGGCCCCTCTGTCTTGCAGAAGACATGAGCTGGCATGCTTGTTCCTCGTGCTGCTGTGTACCGACTCTTTAGTTGATGGTAGCAGCCAGAAAAAGGTGGGTTCTGAAAGGAGCCGTGGCATGCCATCTGCTGCAATTATTCTGAAGGATATTTTTATAAATTAAACTTGTGCAACATAAAGCTTGGAGGTGGAGGGTTTTCTTTGTCTTTTGTGGGCAGAAGGGGCCATGAGGACGTGGTGGCTTTGCAAACTGTAGATTCAAGAAGGATTTTCTAAGCAGTGGATTATAGCAGTGCAGGGAATGTGGTAGCTCTGGGCTGAGATGTTAAACGGTTTGTGGAAAAAAGCAGCTACTTCCGTTGTTAGATATCTGAGCCTTTGTGTACTCCTGATGCTTACAAGTTTGTATCCTTGTTATCTCGGTTCAGCTGCTGATTCCCTGTTGTGTTCTGTATTTTCATTTCAGGCTCCCTTTCCCAATGGTGGATTTGTGAATGGCTTTAGTTCACCAGGATCATATAAGACAAATGCTGCTTTGAGTATAGGTCGCCCATTCCATAGAAACCGGTAAGAACTGGGAAGCAGGCAGAGCTGCTAGAACTTACAGCTTTGGCCTCCTAACGATAATCATCAGGGGTTTAATGTCTCGTATCTGAACCATTTGTCTCCTTGTTTGCGAAGTCTGTGGAACTTGCTTTAAACTAAATTTAGCCTAAAATTCGGGCCAGCATTGGTGAGGCCCAAAAAATAAATAATAAATGTGTCCCGGAGAGTCTTACAAAGGTAAGGACTCCTTTGAAAGCTTCAAAGGAGTTGAAATCATGTGCTTGCTGAAAATAAGTCTTGATGTGGAGGGTTTCCAGATTTAAAGTAGTGCTTCTAGCTAATTATGTCTGCCTTATTTCCTGAGCACAGACTCCTACAAAACAATTCGGTTTCTGTAGTGAGGCTAACATTGTATTCAGTCATTCAGCTTTCTCTACTTCAGAGAGCGAAAAGCTGTAGCAACAGTTTGGTAAAGCTACTAGGTGCTGAATTTATCACCAATTCATTTACCATGTGTGTCTTCTGATTAATTTTAAGGACTGAACTCAAAATACTCTCATTTACGGAAGAGGAAAGCAGCTTTGTGTATCACTAGAGCCATGCTCTGTAATTACAACCCCCCCACCCCCCCCCCCCCCAACAAAAAAAAACAACCCAACCCCAAACCAACAACAAAAAACCCAAAAACAACTAGTAATCTCTGCTTGTGTGGGAGGAAACTTATTTGTGGACTTTCTTCTTTACTGAACTCAGCAAGCAGCTGCTAAACACAATGATCGCTTGTATATTGTTTGAGACTTCAGTTGACAACTGCCCATGCTGTAAATGCTTTGTAGTGAAGTGAAAGTACATGGCCACAAATCAACGTGATCACCAAAGGACGGACTTTGAAATTGGACCTTCAGCGACGGACCGAAGTCTTAGGCTGCGTTTTGGAGTAGCAAGGTGGCTTAATTTAAGGACGTGTTTCTCTAAAATTTCAGCTGCGTTTAAACCCTAAACAGAAGGCTCTTGTGCTCTGTAAGCTGTTGTGCCTAGGTCTCGGTTTATCTTGTATATCTTGCCCAATTAGGTCATGGAGATGTTACTAAAACTGGCATGTACAAGAAGGTAAAAAATCATCTGAGATGAACATACAGTACTTCTACTTACTTCCCAGGTAGAAGCAAGAAACGTCATCTCTGCCTTTGTAAGTGCCCTTCTCTGAGCAGTCTTGGTTTAACCGTTCTAGGCTGCCAGCCCAAAACAGCCCTAGTAAACCCCTCTAGCACGGGTTTGTACAACTCCTGGTAGGGAAACTTTCAGTGCACTTTGCACACTCACTGTACAGATCCTAATCACGTGACTTTGACGGTTTGGATAGGTGCCATCTAGCCAGATTGGAAATAAGAGGGTGGAATGCGTTTGCCTCTTGATGGCTGTTGATTCTCTGGGCTAGTTCTGTACTGAAGGAGGCACACCTCCCCATTTCAGGCAGAGCTTCTCATGCTGGTTATTTGATGGTTCTTGGACTGCCATTGTTGCAGCTTTTGGAGCAAGCTCCTGTCCACGTGTGCTCAGTGAAGGACAGTTCAGACTTTCTTGCCAGAGGCTGGCCTATGTGGTTTTATGCAGGCTTAGCCATGTGTGATAATGGCATGTTGTATTTATCTCCTGGTGATGCTGCTGCCTGCGGGAATGCCACTGCATTGTGCAGAGCCCTAATAAGAGAAACTCTTCAGAACAGAAGCAGCTTTAAAGGTCTGGGACTCGACTAGGTGAATCCGTTTTGGAGCGAAGGTTTGTTTTTGAGAATATGCAGGATTCTTTTGGCACATCTCGTTTTAAGCTGCTCTTCCAAGTAGCTTTAGTGCAGGGACTTCATTGCGCGGTGCTCTGTGTTGTGGAGACTTGCTTCCATGCACGCACAGTTCCCCAGTCCAGTCTCAGCATTTCGATGTCAAGTCTGGCTTCTGATACAACTCTGTATTGTGGAAGCAGGTGTAAAATGTTATATTTTTAAGCAGGGTGACAGCTGGGGTAAATAGCTTCCTCCTATGAGGATACCAGCAAGATGAGCAGTTCTCTGGTTTGGCCCAATGATGATCAGATATCCACTTAGAGAAAATAGGTCTAACACGTGAAAGTCTGGGCATCCTTGCGTTTCACGTTCCACCTTTTCCTGTTTCTTTTAGCTTTCTTCCTTCTCTCTGCATTTTCTCCTCTGCTTCCTACTTTTCTCCTTTTCTACTGCTTTGTTCTTTTGCCCAGGCTGAGATTTGTGTGACCTTCTCAATGATGGGTAAGATTATGAGATCTGAGGGCTGAATCCGTACAGCAGGGAGTTCTGCTTTCACTTACTGTTTAAGTCTCACCATTTTGGAAACTAACTTGGCTAAAATCTGGTCCCTAGTGTGTTGTGTAGAGGATAGTCTATTGGACCCGCAAGCAAGCCAATACTCTGGTTTTCATATTGTTTCTTTGTTAGTGCATCAAGTCTGATTTTTAAATTTTTGGAAGCACAGGGATTGCCCCGTTCTTGAGATTTGTCCCTTTTTCAGTGAGAAAAATAAGACTCCCTGAATACTTATCTGTTGTGTTCACATAATATGTCAAGCAGTATGTGCCCCTCTGGCACTTTCTGTATTAATGTTCTCCTTTGCTACGAGCCCTAAGGACCTGGAATCGAGCAGATAAGTTAATAGGCAAGTACTTGACTTCTATAGCTTGGTGGTTTTCTGCATCTGGGGATGCAGTTTGGGTGGAGGTGACATCCCTGGATTGAGTTGATTGAGAACTTCCTTAAATGCCATATTTGCAGGTTGTTCTTCAGCTTGGCATTAAACATGCTTTCTAAACTGCTGCTCTGGTTGTCTGTGTAACAGCGCTGTGAGGTTTGGATTGCAAGTGGTTCAGGGCCCTCTTTAGAGCAGATGTGCAATAAAATGTTAACACTTGTGCTAGAACTCATTAACTTCTCATGGACTTCCCAGGTCTTAACTCTTAGCATCTACAAAACAATGTCTAATAGCTGCTGAAAAATAATAAGAAAAAAAGAATCTTGTTCTAGCCACACACTTTCTTTGGGAGGGAGTAAGGTACAAACAACCCCTAAATAACAAGGCTATACCAGCTGTTCCTTTTTAAAAAAAAAAAATCTTTGCCTCTGCTCCATTTTGCTGGTGGAGAAATGCTGCTTCCCTGGGAGACGCCTGTTGGTTCATAAAATATTTTGAATCCAGAAAGCACTGTCCAGTCTTCCTACAACATTGCAGGCCCCCCGCTTCCACCCTTGAAAACTCTCCTGGGAGAGGATTGCATGCTTCTCCTTTTGTCTTATCACACTTAACAATTTACCTTATCATGTGAGTAGTCGCTAGTTTAATATTGGACTTTTGGGGGTTTAAACAAACATTTGTTTAAACTGATCAAATTGAATTTATCTTGAACTGTTGCAACATGCCTGCAGCGTGTGCCTAAATGGAAGGTTCCCACACTAGGACAGAAGTACACATGTAGGTGAGTTGGCTTCTTGTCTAGTGGGTGTTTGGCACGAGTGTTGGCAGGGGCAGCTGCACTTCAGAGCAGTTCGTGCTGCTGACTGACACCAGGGTGATCAGGTACTGCACGTGAGATGTAAGAGCCGAGGAATATGCCTGGAGCTCTCTTTCAGACCGCAGCTTGTTCTCAAGCCACTGTAAGGGCTCATACAAGGGAGCTGATAAAGGATGTGTGTTTTGGGATGATGATTCTTTGCAAAGTGAGAATTCTTGGCTTAGTGTATTTAAATGATTTGCAAAGTCAAGTACTTTAAATAGGAAATGCAAGAATTAATTGCCTGTTTAGGGGGGGAAAAAAAGACATCCATGTGTGTCTAATTATTTGATTGCTTTTTTCCCTCCCCCCATCTTGCTCTGGGAGTGTGTTGGGGTTGTGTACTGAAAAGGGATAGAGAGGATGGGCACTGCAACCTTCTTGGCTGCTACTGTTGGAAGCTGTACAGTGAATGAGGCAGTAGATTGCGTGAAGATGGTCTCACGAGCAAGAAAGCTGAATGCTACACTGGCCAATTAGCTTCCATCTCTGAAGCTCTTGCACGTGGTGGCACGCCAGTTGCTTTCACTGAAGGTTTCACGTGCGACTGAGGGGGCAGCTGACTTGGAGCAACGCAGCACGCTCACAGTTGTAACGAAAGCCAGAGTTATCCTAACGACGGAATTGTTTCCTGGTAAAGCAGGGAGGTGTGGTTTGGTGGGTTTTTACACCGACAGAATGCTTTTGGGTCAGTTCATTTGCAAGTACTCGAGTTGGTGCAACTCTGTCAAGTCATAAATCATCACAGTACCTTCTTTTACTTCGCACAGTGTGAAGCCTCACTTCCGGCCCTCGGGTAGCTCGGAACACTCTGCAGAAAGCCCAGCTGCAGTCGGTACCGTGTCGATAGGGGATGGACCACTGAACAGAACTAGCTCCAGGAGTTTTGTCATGGAGCGACATACCAGTGTGTTGACAGGGCACCAAGAGCAAGGCTATTCTCAAAAGGATTTGCCAATCTCACAGATGGAACAGAATGGCGACTACGGCATTGGCAGGGGCAGGTAATGAATTACAGCCACGGAAGCCAAGTGTGGTGATGAAAGCAGCGTGGTGAGACCTATAGTGTGACCGAGTTCGGGGAAACAGGTTCCCCAACCAGTTTGAAATGACTCTCTTATAAGCCAGAGTAACCTTGGCTGTTGCATACAACTGTTTAGGCTTCTGTGAGGGGTGGCAGGTAAGGGGACAGGTGACATTTAAATAAAGTGAACATAATATGAGCTGTACTGTGGAGTATCCTTTCACTTGTACTTCTTATCAGCTCTGTGGAGGGGGACCAAGCCGTTCAGTAGACAGGTTGTGGGTGGTTATAGAAAAAAAGGCATGTTCAGAGCCCACACTCCTGCGTTATTTTGGATTTCTGACTACTTAATTTCAATATAAAACTGGTCTTAAAATATTCCAGTAGCATCTCTTGGCTCACAGCACAAATGTGAGATTTAACTTTTACGGCTCAGTGATCCCCTTCAGATTAGGTTAAAGCAAAATAAGTTACATGCTGTTTTCTATGCAAAATTATTTAACCTTTCCATCCCTTGGCTTTCACTCAGCACTTCAGTGATAGCTGTTCTCACCCGTGGGGCTATTTGTTCTGAGATATTAGAATATAAAGAGTCATGTAGCTTGCAGGTAGTCCATTAACAGCTCACTCTCCCTCACAAGGGCTAGTCTTACTACACAGAGGTTAATTCTAGAGGCCATTTAGAGTTATTTCACTAATAGCCTGTTAAATAGAAAGTGTGGCCTTTTGTATTTGCATTGAATTTGGAACAAGTGCCGAAGTCCTTAGGGCTCAGTATCTGGGAGCTTCAAACATTTAAGTTCTAAGATAAGGCCAGTTAATCTTTTATTGTCTGTTAGCACTAGGATTGTAACCCCTTTAAAGTAAACTGATGAAAAATGCCCGAGTTTTGCAGTAAGGGCACCAGTTCTGTTGCTCTGTGTAACATAACATAACATGAGTTTGAAACCCTGAAGAGTGAACCAATCCTATGTTCAGGTTTGTCCCCAGCACATCTGAGCATCTTTCCTGGTGGCATGGTAGCCTTCCCAAATTAGCCCTTGCAGGGCTTCTGCCTTTCTAAGTGGCTGGGGCCGAACACCTTTTTAAACGGGTTGCAGGAGGGACTGCCTGCCATGCGGGCTGCACTGTGCTGAGCCTCAGCCCACGTGCCGCAGACCACCCCCCTGCTTTGCTGTGCGGGTGCTTCCCTACCTCGCCTGCTACTGCATTGTGCACCTGCTCTGCCTTGCTCTCTCTTCCTCCAGTCCTATATCATGCGCCTGCTTGGTCCCAGGGTCACCCTTGGCTGCCTCAGCTGCACTACACTGCCCTGTCACCTGGGGTGGGGAGACTGGCTGCTGTTCCAGCCAGAGGGAAGCAGGGAGCAGTGGCCGACAGGAGCTGGGAGGTGAGGGGCAGCCCGCAGACCACCAGTTGGACAGCCCCAAGCTGTTGCATTAGGAAACGCATTAGGTTAGCTTCTCTGATTGTGGAGAAGAGAACAGGGGTCACCTGGTAAGTGTCCAGGAATATTCTGGCAGAAACTTCCCTTTCTGGGGAAGTCCATTCAGGAGCGAAGCTAATGCCCTTGCTGAGGTTTTTCTTTTCTTTTTTCTTTTAAAGGAGGAACATTTTCAGAGGTCGAAGGAGGCGGGAAGATGACAGGATTTCAGTAAGTTGCACATCTGCTATTGCAAAGGATAAAATGGTCTTAAGACCCAGGCAGCAACATGTCCTTTGCTTAAGACCTCATGAGATTGAAAAGAGGATACCTGCTGCTGGTTGGGAAGCAAGATGCACATCTTTGCCACATGAGAGAGCAGACATCCTTAGTTGTGAGCTGTTGCTTCTTGTCCTTATAGAGCATGTTTTCCCTAAGCCAGTGGTTTTTAACATGTGGTTTGGGGGTTCACAGACTGTCTAAAGGGTCCACGAAAGATGACTATGATCAATCAAAAGTATGTGAATACTCACACTTGCAATTCAGAGGGGTCTGCAACTTCATTTGAAATTTTTTAGGTGTCCACGAGTTTTAAAAAGGTTGAAAACCACTGTTTTAAGCTATTGAACAGTGGCTCCCAACCTTTTTTTTTTTTTTTTTTTTTGCTGCGACCCTAAATCTGGGTCATGACCCCTGCCACCAACTCGCTCCTGCCTGGCAGCACCAACAGAGCCTGGGCCGGGATCGCAGGGGGGCAGTGACAGCAAGAGTCTCGCGGACTGTGCACCGGGAGAGCCTCAGAGGCGGGAGGGGTGGAGTGAGGGGGAGTCGTGACCCGAGGTTGGCAGCCACTGCTAGAGAAGAATCAAGGAAACCTTTTTTTTGCTGTTTTCTTTCAAAAGTAGGTTGCTGCACGCTGACCACTAGATGGCTCTCGGCTCAACTTATTCCCATTGTCCTTCCCTTTAAAAGAGGGTAGGATGGCAAGAGATCCTCTTTGCCAGAGAGGCCCAGCCAAACGCTTGTGGCTGGAATTTGACCAGGAAAATGTAGTTAACACCCTTGGCACTTATTAAAGCACTGATGGGGAGGGGCGGAATCTAACCCAAACCTGTTTTAGTCTTGAACGTTATTTGAAAAGTATCACTGCAGTAGCAAATGCAGCCTATGTCCTGACTAAAGTGAGAGAATGGTGGACCCCCTGTCCTTAAGGCTGCATCCTGTAGGGTACAGTGCTCCCTGGAAATCTGCCTAGTAGCTGACCAGGCACTGCATTGCCATGACCATATCAGATCAAGTAGACAGTATGTCTTTTAACAGGTGTTCTCTTCTCCTAGCGACCCCAGCCTTTGCCAGAAACAAAGGCTCCAACACCAAAGTTTGACTTGCTTGCATCCAACTTTCCCCCTCTGCCTGGCAGCACAGCAAAAACGCAAGGAGAGCCTGTGCTGGAGAGCAGAATGTCTGATGTTGTGAAAGGAATCTGCAAAGAGAAGGTACCTCTGGGGTGCATGTTACCAAAGTTAACTTCTTCCTTTTACTTTTCCTTAACATTTTTTGAGGCTTATGCTGTTAGAGCTGTAAATGAGACTGGCTTGCAGGCCTGAACAACCCTGTGTGTATTGTTGATTCTGTGGCGTGGCTTTCTCTAATTCCTTTCTTGGGTTGGCTGGCTTTCAAGAAGCGCCCAACTTGAGCAGTAGCACCTATGACCATCACTTGCCTTTCTGTTCTCGTCGCAGATTTTCCTTCACCGGACATAAATGAGGTGCTGCTCACACAAGTGCATTATCTATCCCTAAACTGTAGTGCATCTTAGTACCACCGCTGCATGATTCAGTTTCTTGATATTTAAGTTGCATTTTAGTCCTCATAAAGCTTAATCTCTAGTGCTACCACCCTTCTGCAATCTTACCATTTCTGTATTCTCCGCAGGAGAGCAAGGACTTGCCAGTTACTTGTCCAGCTTCTGCTCAAGAAGAGCAGACGCCTTGTACAGCTCAGCAGCCCGTCACAAGTGCAAGTTCGCCAAGCAGGACTGAGGATCCTGTGCTAAGGTGTGTTTAAAAAATATGCTGTTGTGTAAGTGTGTGAGTGGCTGTTACTCTGAGGAAGCAGTATCTTCCTTCCCTGCAGTATTTTCCTTCCCTGCTGTTGAGGTCTCTAGGCTGCTGGAAAGCTGCTGACTATTAAAGCTTGGGGATAAAAGATGTGGCCATCCTGCTTGGTGAAAGCTGCAGTGACTTGAAAGTGGGGCAGGGGGAGGTAGCATTTGAAAAGCTGAAGTCATGGGGGTCTAATGCTGACTCTGATTTTGATCAGCACAACTCGGACCGACAGCAAGCCAGACGAGGTTTCGGCTGAGAAAGAAGCGACAAGCCATGCTTCCCCACCTGTGTCTTTCTGTCCTGTTGCTGCGAAGCCACCAAGGACAAATACCACTTCATCCTCTACCAATGCAAATGCAGCACCTGCTGTGACAGTACAGGTGAGGTTGGCTGTCTGTGTGAGATGCTTGGTGCTGCTAGTGCAGGGGGAACCTGGGGAAGCGGTGGCAGCTTTCTCCCTGCTCCGAGGAGAGAGGGTGGCATCCCTAGCCCAAGGGCAGACTGGAACCTTGCAGGTTCTAGGGTCAAGCTACGCTGCCTTCATACACAGAGCATGCTGTCTTTTCCTGTGCTCTCTTAATGATGTGTCTGGGGTGCTCTGGAGGAGCTACGTTGGGGTGGTCTTCCTGATGGGTAAATGATGTTCTTCTACCTTTGGCATCCAAAGGAACCACGCAAGCTAAGCTATGCCGAAGTTTGCCAGAAACCCCCAAAGGAGCCGACGCCAGGTCCTGTTCAGCCACTGAGGGAGCTTCGTACCAACATAGTTTCCCCTGCCAAAAATGAAGAAAACGGTACTCCTGAGAAGGCTTTGGAAAGGCCCCATGAGAAGCTTGAAGGCCGAATGAAGGATTACTCTGGGTTCAGAGGCAATGGGCCTCCTAGGGGAGCTGCTGGGAAAATCAGGGAACAGAGGCGTCAGTTTGGACGCAGGTCATCGCCTCAGGGAGCACCGCGGCGTATCGGCAAGGAGCAGTACGTGCCGCCCCGATCACCAAAGTAAAACTCGTCCAACTCTCTTCTCTCTCTTTAAATTGAGCTGTGGACTAAAGAGCAGCAGAGAAGGCAGACTGAAAAAGAGGAGGTATTCAGGAAGGCGAATACTGAATCGGAGTTGCGGAGAAGTTGGGGAGCATCCCAAAATTCATCTCTCAAAGTGATTTCACAAATGCTGGAGGATTCCAATCAATATAAATATAGAGATTATAATTTTTGTATTTTTTTGTTTTTAATTTGCAGAGGGTTTCCTGCTTGAAATCAGTTCTGGGGCTGTGAATTAGCATTTTGACAAGAGGAAAAGTGAAATGACCTATTAACATGCCCCTCAGTGTAGAAGGAAGAGGGCAAGAGAATATTATTTTTGAAAATGAGCATTTCTGTAAAATTTAGAATTTTTTTAACCTATTTAACGTTTGGCTTGTAGGATGATGTGAATGCCATTCATGGCCTTGCATTGCCAAGCAGATCTGTGACCTGAGATGCTTGGTCAGTGTGCTTGAGTTGCGTGAGTGCAGCCAAAAACTGTTAAGTCTTGACATAGTCACTGATAAACTGAATGTACTACTGTAGTAAACTGTGTTTCCAGTTTGAAATTTAGTCTCTTTTGACCTTACTAATTTCATTCAGCAAGCTTTTTAAACTATAATTTTACTGGAGATCCGAGGGTAGATCAGAGCACGCGGGCAACAAGGATAGTCTCTCTTCTAGGCAGAATTGGGAGGGGGTGGAGGGAGTGTGGTTGGGATTTTACTTTCCCCTTTCCCTCGCCTCCCGCTGCGAGGGCTACGTTTTTTTTTTTTTATTGCTTAAGCTTTACTTTCTCTAATCTCTTTATTACAGACACGTGCATGTATTTGGTGTGTGCTCCCGAGGCAGGCCCCAGTACAGGGCTAACGGAAGACTGCACAGTACATGTCAGCCTCGCATGTAAAGAGCCAGACCTTTAAAATCCTTTGCGTGGAGCTGAGCTCGTTCAGGTGGGAGCTTTAAGGGCAGGATCAGGCTCTCGACGGAGAGCCTTGTTTCAGGGCCTGTTTTAGACCCATCCAGCAGTGCGGACAAGTTTCCATGTAGTGCTCTGTATTAAAACATCGAAAACCGAATATCAGACATGAGGGGTTATGAACTGGGAGCTATCAGACGCCGGGGTTATGAATTGGGAGCTCTGTTTACAGCGAAGATAGTAGAGCCTGACTTTTTTTTTTTCCTTTTTCTCCCCCACCCACCCACCAATTCCTTGGAGTTAACTGTTTAAAGAAGAACTAAAGGCCATGACCTTTTTTTTTTTTTTTTTTTTTTAACTCTTCTTCAGAGAGGTTACTTGAGGAAAATTTCTTGTGTAACTTTACATTGACTAAATTCGCAACACTATTGTGTAGTAAGCAGTTAAGTTTACAAGCTGATTACCAGAAATGACTGAATAGGAACAATACAATGCATTAATCTGCCAAAATCAGCATGCCGGGGTTCTAAGTTCTGTATAAAGTGTTAGGAAAAGTAGCTTGCAGCAGTAAGAAAACTGTACTTTTTAATTTTTTTTTTTTTTTAAAGTAAATAGCAAGTGTACGAAATAAAGTTGTAAGTTGTGAACACTGGAAAATTCATTTGTGATATATACCATAAACATCTTAATAATATATGCTAGTGATGCCATTAGAATGAATGTAAGTAGCAGTTAAAAATGACGTTTAACTGTGAAAATTTTCATCTTCTGATTTTTCTTAGTCGGATAACCCTTGGTGACTTCTTACTCAGTAGGCATTCTCTACCAACGGCTTGGAGAACACTCATATCTATTTTTATAAATATATAAAGCCAGAGTTATCATTTCTCTAACTTATTATTCAGCTTGGCAATCGCTTTTGATTTTTTGATTCATAACGCAGTGTAATGTATTTATGCAATTAATTGTTCATTTCTACGCATGTTATATGTATAAAAAAAAAAAAAAAAGAATCATTACTCACTTTTAAAACTACCTGTACTGGGCTTGGGAATTTTTTAATTTAACCACCAAAAAAGAAGAATCATTGAAGACACTGGCCAGTGAAGGATACTTTCCAACCCTGCTTGGTTTATTTGCGAAAAGCAACATTTGATGGAAACCAAACAAGGAAGTCTGAAGCGGTAAAAGTTTTGAAAGGTATCCAGGGGGTGATAAAAGTTCTGAAACGCATCGAATTTGCAAAGTTTAATCTCAAACATGATTAAAAATTCGACTTGGATTATACTGCTGTCTAAGTGAGCAACCTGTTTTGTACAACAGTGCCCGGTCTGTTCAGGAGAGATGTGCGCTCCTTGCAAGGCGAGCATGGCGTGCAGCGCCCGCACTCGCCGTAAACCCGGAGGGAAGCTCTTTGGGGAAAAGTGTGTGAACCTGGGGCCTGGCCCGCTCCTGCCTTGAATAGCCTTGTAATGTGGAAAAGATGGGATCCGCCTGTTTCTACCCCTAGTAAAAAGTAGCTTAGATGTGGGAGGAAAAATCACTACAGTTCATAATCTTTTTTTTTCCCCAGTTATCTTTAGGAGGAAAAAGCCCGACCAAACACACTGGTCACGGGGAAGGGATGCATTTTGTCCTGGAGGTGCGGTGTCTGCAGAGAAGTTTGTGCCCCGCTGGCATTTTCCCCCACCATGTGCCCGTGTGCTGTTGGAGCAGGGCGCTTGCCGCAGCCGTGTACGTGACACCTTGTATGTGCCTGGGTCTCTTCCTCCCCACGGCCTCGGCTAGCTCGCTGGTTCTGGGTGGGGGCACAGTCACTACAAGCGCTGTGGCCGAGGTGTGTGTGCGAGTGGGCTGAGGGGCACAAGCCATATGAAAGTTGTGTGGTGGGTAGGGGGGCACACGCTAGGAAAGCTAGGACTGCAGGGGGGTAGGGGGGGACACAATCAGCATTGGGTTGTGTGCGCAATGCACAATGCAAGAGGTGGGACTGGATTGCGTGTGCAAGTGGGGGGTGG